CTGGCAGTGGCACTGGGATTTATCTCTACTGCATGTACTGGCTTTCTGGGATCCTGTTCTCTTTGGATGTATACCATGCTCAGCCTAGATATAGTAGGGAGGGCCTTGGACCTTCCACAAAGCTGTGCCTTACCCTCTCTTAGGATTAGATGGGGGTGGAGTGGGAGGGTGTGTGGAGGGAATGGGAGGAGGTGAGGGAATGGGAATTTGGATTAGTATTTATATTTTTATTAAAAAATCTAATAAATTGAAAGAACTACTTAGCAAAACTCTTCCACTACAGCTGTGATATTTTTCTTTTTCTAAATTAGAAGAGAGCATTAAGAGCCCTATGACAAAAAGAAGCCAAGAAAGTCCATAGCACACCTCGAGCCCATTGGCCTATCCAATTTTTCTCATTTCTTTACGTTCAATTATACTTACAATGCATGGCAGACATGGGCTTTTGTTCTACTCTCATTGCTGTGACATCATCAGTTCGAAACACGTCAGCATTTTATCAGCTCTTTTTAATAAATAATAGACTCATGAATATTCATTAATTATTCTTTTTTCTCATTTTATATTTTAATTATCTTCTCTTTTTTAGATTTTTCAGAATATAATTCCATAATTTCCCTCCTCCATTTTTCTCCCTCCAAACTTTCCTTGACCTACTTCAAATTCATGACCTCTCTTTTCATTAATTGTCACTGAATTCACATATGAATATGCATATACATATATATTCCCCAATACTTAGTACAACTGCCAAGTCTGTATAATGGTACTTGTCTATATATATTTTCAGGCCTGGCTATTTGTTACTGGATAAGCAATTTGTGTGCTCCTCCTAGGAGAAGACTACTTCTTCTGTTCTCAGCACTCCTTGGTTGCCTATAGTTCTTTGTGTAGCACTTGATAACTTTGTAATCAGTTCCCTTATCATGAATTTTATGTTTATTATTGTGAGAACAGTTACTAATGCATATGCAGGCACATGTTGGGTAACTACCAAGATACCTTCTGATAAATGAGTCATTTGCCATTCTACAAGCATCACAAAGAGTGTCAGCATGAACTTGCATATGTCTAATATACACCAAGAGTATATTATATATACATATGCATATATTAAATATACATTTTAAATAATCAGAAAAGTAAACTATAATAAAATATATAAACAAGGGCTGAGAAGACAGATCATCAGATAAGGGTACTAGCTGCCAACTCTGAGGACCTGAGTCAGATCCTCAGGATCCATGTAGTGAAAATGGAAATTAGACAACCACATGCTGTTCTCTGACCACCACACAAATGCTGTGGTGTCCCCCCACACACACACACACAATGGATGAATGTAAAAACTTAAAAATACCTGAACTATTAACATGTTTTATGCACTGTTAATAATTCCTATATGTATCATTAATATTTATTCTATATCCCAGCATCAGCATAAACACATGGGTGTGAACGGTGCTGTGATATTAGGATGACTACCTCACAAGGGCTATTTAGCTCCATGATAATCTCATGGTGCTATCACCACTGAGCAAGAGTGACAAGACCATGTTTGAGACACTCAGTGCGATGTATGTAAATAGCATGTTCGACCATGCCATACTGAACAAGCAGTGCCCTCATCATTTCATGCTTACCCTGATTACTTTTGCTTGACTGTTTTCCTGTGTGGCAAGAGCGTCTAAACTTACTGGCTTCACAAAACTTCAGGTGCAGTGTGATATCATTGCCTGCATTCTTCATAGCACGTTAGCTCTACAGACTGACTCCTACAAACCTTCTACTTTACATGAACATTGTGTGGTCCAGTTTTCTCTGTGTCATCCTCTGCAAAGCCAATGGTGAAAAAGTACATCAGTGTGTTGAGGAAGGTGTGTTCTAGATACGAATCATCTACCTCTTCAACTCCCAATTTCTCCATCGTTTCCACAGGATGAAGATGGTTTTTATTAACCCCTGTTTTCTCAGCAGTTGGAACATTAGTGAACAATATTATAATGTGACAATTAATTATATAAATATTCAAGTATTTTATACTATACAGATTAAATGTTGTGTACTATTAATTACATCAATTCAAAATCAGATTGGCATAGATTTAGAGTTCTGTTGTAGAAAATTAACAGTTACTTTTATCATTTTCATGGAAAATATTGCACTAATGACAGCCCTATTTTCTTTTTGATGGTGAGTGATAAAGGTCCTCACTTTCCTTCCTCGATGTATGAAAAATAATGCAGTAGTCGGGTGAAGTGACTTGGAACTCTGTGTTTTATTTTTCTTTAGATAAAGTTGTGGCATGATTTTTCAGTCTATTAATTGGACATGCAATCATGAGGAGAAAATGTGAGCATCTAATATATGTTGCCTACATCCCTACTGCTGGGTTCTTCCTAGATGTCTGCTTCCTTCATGTTTTCCCACTGGAGTAGCCACTGAAGGTCTGTGCATAACACATACTCAATAACCTTGATTGGTCACTTAAAGTTTGAAATTTTCCCACACAACACATTGGTTTGCCTACATATTTGTCTTATAAAAACTGTTATTTCAGCAAAGTAACTAGTGTTTTCAAATGTTTTGACTCACAGTGTATTTTAGTAAAACAGGGATTAAAAAACAATGTAATTTCTCAATAAACAGAAAATTCCCTACGATTTTGTTCATTTAATAATTTTTGTGACAGTGTATTGATTTCCTTGTCCTTGATCAGGTATGACTGTGACCTTATGCTCAGAAATGGAAACAGATAAGAATTTTATGTAGTTCCCTTAACTTTTGGAGAGGAGTTCCTCCTAAACATCCCTGCACAGGGCATAATGGTGCAGGCTAGACAGTCTCAAGAAATTCCTCTATTAATTTAAATCTTCAGTCACATGAAAATGGCTTTTAAAGACATTTTAGTTTATTTGAAGGCAAACATTTTGACATTTAAAAGATTAGTAATGAAATTGATGATGAATATTTACATACTGAAAGCCCCAAATAAACCCAAGAAGCTAGTTCAAGAGCAAGCTCTGATTCCATCATTGTGAAGGCCAAAGGAAATTCTGTGATGGAAATTTTAGTATGTACAGTATTTCCTGAAGTTTTATCCAAACATATCATTTCAGAGAAATCACAGGACTATCTTCCTTTATCCCTCACCTTCTCTAAAGGCCAGCTGCCTGATCTTGTCTGCATTACACCGGAAATGTTTTTGCTCCATCTTTGGTGAGAAATGTATTTCTTTTGTGTAAAGTGAAGATAAAAGCAATTCAGACTGTTGAAAATCTCCAGCTATTGGGACAGTGAGTAAAATCTAACAGGAAAAAAGGTCAGATAGACCACTATTACATACATATGGTTACATAGTAAATGGCCTCCTGGAAGCTGCTACTGACACTCTTTAGTTCCACGCTCCAGGTCTAAGACCAGGAAACAGACTGACAAGTTACTCTCTTTCCATGCCCCCAGGTCGTGTAGAAACAAAGTGACATCAGCTAGTACACAAATGACATGTGGATACCCAGACTCTCAGCATGTCTGTCTCCGTTCACATGCTACCAGGGAAAGACTCTCTGACACTGACAGTTTTCAACCTCTCCTCTAATATACTCTTCCATCTCTCCTCCTGCTCTGTCTCTTTCTGTCTCTATCTAGCTCAGTCTTTCTCAATCCTTGCAAAACATAGCCTGGTTTATGTACATTATAACCTTTACTAGCTTCTCACTAAATCTACACATTCATTTTCCCTCTTATGCCATTGCTTACTTCAACAAAAAATAAACAATTTTTAAACTCCTCATTCATAAGGTTATTAAGTTTACATACCATGCTTCTTTCCTAGATGGCATGACTCCCCTTTCTGTGACACAAGCTTGGTACCACTTCAAGACCTACCTTACCCCCTTCTCCCCTTCAGGCTATTTCATTTTTGGATAAAAAGGAGACTTCTGTATTTTAATATTGTTTATGACCTCTTTATATTTCCTGTACACTATAATTACTCTTTCTCCCTCCCTTGACTTCTCAGCTTTTTCAGTCTTGTTAGATGTACACCAAAGTTACTAGTTTGTTCCTTGGTCCTCAGCTTCGAATCTTATTTCCATGAACGAAAATACTGAATTTTTTGGTAATATTTGTACGGGCTCACTCTGCATAAATAGATGTCCTCAGTGGGGATCCTCTTATGTGTATATGAAGTACTGTATTATCAGCTCATACCTTAACCATGACCAAGCTGTGAGACTCAGCCTGAAGCATCGCTGGGTGAGTGCTCATTTAGTTTGTTATAGATGGTGTGTTAAGCTCCTGTAGAAACAAACCATTGCCTGCTATGCTATGCTGTGCTGTGCTGTGCTGTGCTATGCTATGCCAAGCCAGCCTGGATTTTCAACTCTTCCTCTCACTACCACCTCAAATGCCTTCTCACAGCTTTCCTTTAATTTGCTTAACCACAAAGCATGACTCGCTTACCCTGCTTGCCTCCCACAGCGAGAAACATTCTTTTTAAACCACTATTACTTTCCAAATCCAACTTTTTCTTTAAAAAAAAAAAAAAGTCTATGCATGCAATGGCAGACACAGAAAATCAGACTCCTGCTCAAAACACAAGCAAACAAAGCCCTTCCAACAACTAGCACCAAAACTACTGAGCATGTACCTGTGTTTGTAACTGCCTCTTTAACTAGAGAGGTAGAGAGATCCTCTTTTAATTTGTGTATTTATGAGAACAGTAGAAAATTTCTCCCGCATGAGTTTGTCTAATATATTTCACATCTAGTGTAAAGACCTAGAAACCCAGAACAAATATTACTCAGCATGAAATGAAAGAAACAAATTATCCTCTTAAAGTTCTACGCATTGTGACTGCTCTCTCCGAATTCTCCTGACTAGGGAGCTTCCCCTCAAGTCTTTACTTTTAATCGCCCTGCCAGATGCTCTTCTGCCATGCTCTATACAGCAGCCTCTATGCAGATTCCCTCCTTCCCCGGCGGCTTTTGAAAACTTACCGCTTTTACCAACGCCCCCTGCGCCCAGCATTACCACCTTGTATTCTCTGGACCCGCCTGGTGAGCTGCCAGGGCAAGAGTGGGCTTCATTTTCTACTTCCATCTTACCCAGGGGAACGCGAGGAGAAAAAAGGAAGAAAAAGTCACCCGTGTCAGGTGCTTGCTCAGATAGTAAACAACTCTAAAACTGTGTCAAAGGAAAGCTGTAGTGCATGACAAGAACCATCAGCTTCGGGCTGCCTGCTGGTCCTCTGCTGGAGCGGGTCTCATAGCAACCACTTCAATTGCTTCCAATAAAAATCTGGCTTTACTTCCCCCTCCCTCTGATCCTTCACCGTTTCACATCTCCACTGATCTCACTTGCTCATTCTGGTTTCTTCTTTCCCTCGGTGTTCTATTTCTCCATTGCTCTTTCTCAGTTTTCCTCTCTCTTTTCTCTTCTGGGTGCTCCCCCACCTCCCCCCGGCTGCAGCAGCAAGTTTTTAGATGCACACACACTTGAGCTCATTCCAGACTGAGGGGCTATAATAGAGAGTCTGAGCCTTAAGGGGAGATGCTGTCTCACTAGCTGACTTCTGTTACTGCAGCTTCAGAGACATCATTTTATTTTAATCAGAGTCAATTACTTGAACATTTTCTGTGGATTGTATCGGAGCTATCTCTCGAGATCTGCCCTTACATGTCTCATTCTGGAAAAGGGGCGGCACCCATACAAAAAAAAAAAAAAAAAAAACTCTGGGAACATAAGGGTGAGTCCTTAGTGTTGTTGGGATAGTGCCTAAGAGGAGTTGCTTGCTCATTGTGTGTGCAGTGAAGGTCCTGACATAGGGGATAATTGAATTAGCTCATTGCCACGCCTGAACATGGATCGTTCTTATTTATACCAAGTCATTAGAAACAAAGTGGATTATATGACTCTAGCAAGCATGAAAGAGACACAATAAATATGTTTTTATTAAAATGGTTGCATATTAAATCATAGAAGAATCTAGGCTGTTCTTCAGAAGGTCAAAGTCTTTCTCATCGGAATTCTTGTAGCCTTTTCCACTGTGATCTTCTAAAACATGAAAGTCTCAGAATAGTTTCAATAATCTCTAATTATCAGTCAGACCCTGTCCTTCTATAGAGGCAATGGCGTTCTTCATGTGTTAGGCTTCTTGTTGAAGTTGACCTTGGAGGATGTATCCAAGTGTTTCGAGTACATTGACTTGTCTTTCTAATTTTTAAGATCCTCCATAAAGAAACCATATATTTGGTTTTTAGAGACAGGGTTTCTCTGTGTAACAGCCCTAACTGTCCTGGAACTAGCTCTTGTAGATTAGGCTGATCTCGAACTCACACAGATCCGCCTACCTTTGCCTCCCGAGTGCTGGGTTTAAAGGAGTGTGCCACCACCACTCAGCTAATTGTATTTATTCAATTCTGTATATCACTATAGTGTGCAGTGAAGTAAGGGGCACAGGATAAGTGTTCGGTACATTTTCCTGTTTGTGTTCAGTACATTTTCTCAGCTATGGCTGAGAATGCCATAGCCAAGAGCTCAGATTCTGGGGCCATGTGACTTAATTCTCAAACAGGCTCAGTCTGATTCACTCAACTGATTTTTCAACAAAATGATATGTGAAACCCTACATTCTCAGTTCAGACATACATAGATATATAATATCACATTATTTGGGTTTTCTCTTGAAGCATAATGCTAACAGCTAATTTTATAAATATATATTAGGGAAAAATATCTTCTAATGAGCTTATCCAAATATTTAAGTCTTTTTTATTTTCTACTTATCTGTCAAGATTTGATTTATTTTATTGAGTTCTGAGAATTCTTTATATATTTTGAATACAATCCTTTTTTGCATCTTACTGATGCATCTTCATTGTATACAGTTTTTTTTCATATAATATTTTCAAGTCTTTTGGCCACAATTAGCTCCTTTTTTCCCTGCCTTTGATATCTTCCTTTTTCTCCTCCCTTCCTCTAATCTTTTCTCTTCTTTCATATTATTATATATAACATACATACATATATACATATATATATATGTACTCCATGTAAGATTCTACTCTCATCTGTAGTTTTTCTTATAGAATCTTTCAAAGAGCTGGAGGGGAGAAAAGAAATATAATTAAAATATATTTTAAAAATTCCAAGATATTTAAATGTTAATTTAATTTATGATTGTTTTATTTAAGAAATATTCCAGGGGACCTTCCTGTTTATTTATTTCCCTGAACACTCTCTCTTTCCAATCTCTTTCCACTATAGTTCACTTATGAACCTAGATTTCTTCATTTCTGTAGTAACTCTCCAGTTTGGGGGTAATTTTAAACTGCGTTTCCCCTTGTGCTCCAGAACTAAATTTAAAGACCTCCTGGATGTACCCATGACAACTCTGCTTATGTTTTAACTCTGGTGTGCCTAGAAAGACATCACCCTCAGCCTCAACACATGGAGATGACATTGTTATCAGTAAGATCATAAGAGCATCAGTACCTTCCAAGATCCAGTTTGGATTCTGTTTCCGGTTATATTTGATTTTCATAACCAGAACATTCTCTAATTTACTCTCTCCTATCACAAGTTTGCTGCCCTGTCCTGTTTTCCAGAGGGCACAATTGAGCCTGTACACATAAATCATCAACCTATTGACCATGCTGACACATTCATATATCAAATACAAAACCATACAAGCCAGTGGCTTCCAATGTCTCACACAGACACAAATCATTACCTGAGGCCATATTCCAACTTTGCCTTCACACTCTGCAGAGTAAGCAAGCTATGAGCTACTTGTCTTCCTGGCAAAACCATTAATTCTATGATTGGATCTAACAAAGAAATACGGCTTACCATATTCATGTACTTATCATGTTTTGAAAAATTAAAATGTTATCGTTAAATGAAACAAAAAATATAAACAGCATTTAGCATTTTGTGGTTTTGTGTCTAGATCTGTTCTGAAATATCATGACCCTGAACACACTACATGCCTTCTAGTCAGGCCGTCTGCTACTCAGTTGTCCATATCAGCCATGCTGATTGTTGGTAAAGCACAGAAATTGTACTGAGAGCTCTGTCTTTGGTCATCCACTATTCAGAAGACTTATTTTAATATTGGGTAAGAAAAAGAAATACATACAATTGTTTTCAAAGTAAACATATGAGTAGCTTACCAGAAATCCTGTGAGACACTGTGCGAGGGAATTGTGGCTGGTGAATTAACTGTCTTCTCAGTTATACTATGTCTGTCTATATTCCTCGCCTGAAAAATCAATAGTACTTTTCCTTTTACATGGAGTTAAAAATAAAACATGAAATACAGAAAGACTTCCCTAACTGAAGCCTACTTTGCCTCTTCTAAATTCTAGGAGTCTAGGGGTTTTTTATTGTCATGTGTTACTAAGGATCTTTGATCCTGATTAATAGTGATCAGATTATAAAGCATTAAGGTTAGTGACTTTTGTATTTTCTTTGATTTACGACTTAGCCACTACACCCACAGGCCATGTGTGTGTGTGTGTGTGTGTGCATGCACATGTGTGTGTGTATGGATGTGCTTAGGGAGTTACAAGGAGATCTTTGGTAGATACATAAATGTTCAGTGAAAGGAAAGATTTAAGCAACTGAAATCATCATATAACAGATATCCCTGAACTCAGGAAAATTGTCTAAAGTAACATACCTTGGCATGTCCCTTTGAAAACCCATTTCTACGGCATGAAGACCTAGGTGCTAGGTTAAAAAGGAAGCACTTGGCTCTCATAGAATGATTCAAGCACAATCTAATCTGCTTCCATGCACCATGCTTTCCTCTACAGCCCTTCTTAATTGATGAAAAGAGAAACTAAGCCAATAAACAACACCTTACGAAGAAGCACATCATTCTACTTAAATGGATAAAATTGTAAACTTCGCTACAACTTACCGAGGCATCAAGTCACTGTGATGAGTCTGTGGGAGAAAAGTTTGAACACCGAGATTCCATTTTTCAATTCTCTACTTTTCCTCAGGTGTTATTCTGCAAAGTCCATTTTTGTCTTTACTGAAATGTATATATTGTTTGTATTACAAAGATAATTTTACGTTTCCACTAACCTAATCTCCACAATGCAACTTCTCCATTTTCATCTTTCTCTCTCAAGAGTACAGCACTTTCTAAGAGCTCAATTTAAGCAACATCAGTTCTAAGGCTCTAATCATTCATTTGATGATTCACGGGGAGCACAGCACCAAGGCTGCTGAACAGACAGCAGATGCAGCGCAGGCAGGTCGGAAATGCCGCCTGAACAGGAATAAGGGTCCAGTAGAGGAAAGAGATTGTTGGCATCAAATGCTTTTAGATTGTTTTCCAGCTCTGCAAGTTAAAGTCCAGGGAAATGGTCAAGTTATCTCTCGAGACTGGCTTCTTTTGATGGGTTGCTATGAGTTTCTTATTTTGTTTTCCTTGGGAAACTGGCCTGGTTTGGAGATTAGCTATCTTCAAGTCTTGATCATGCAACAACATTTGCCATGAGGTCATGAACATGATGGTCTTCTCATGTCCGGAATGCATTATTTCAGTCCAGTCCCCCAGTCCTATGGCCTTTCTGCTCCCTGTTCCATGATATACCCTGAACACTGATGGTGCCGTGGACAGGGAACCTGCTCTGGAACCTGCACATTGGGTCAATAACCTATACCCTGGCCTTCAATTTTTTTCTCTCTCAGAAAAGTTAATCCCAAGACTAACAGATCAATAGCCAAATCCTTTGACAACAATATTGACTTGTCTCTGGGGGAAGTTCCAAATACATTTAAGACAAAACAATTAAATAATAACAAGGCTCATATATCGTATTCTGATGGTCAACAATAAATAAAAATGTTTTGAATGTACTATCTATATGTCAAAGGGTTAACAAAATTTCAAAATCCTCTAGAGTCAGCATTCCTTAAAATTCAAGTTATGGATTCAAGATTCTCAAAATTTATGCTTTATTTTAGCTGTGCCCATTTGAGTTAGTCAGTCATGTAAGGGTATGAGACCAAGTTCTGAATACACTAAGTAAGACCCAAAGTCCCTTTGCATTGTGCATAAAAATTCCAGTGGGGACTCTCAC